GTTTGATGTAAAATAAATCCTGTGTACTCACACTGACAGGCGTAAGCCACCTCCAGGTACTTAAAAGTTCCCCCACAGGGGTCTCCAAACACAGAGTTTGAGGCGTTGATAACACAACTGTTTTTCCCCTGGCAGCTGTGGAGAAACCAGTGAAGACAAATTATATTAAAGAAAAATCATTTGAAAAAATTATATAATAATCACATTACTGTGTCACTAAAGTTAACCAGTGGCTGTCTGAAAACTTGCTTCTCTTAAACCTTCGCAAGACAGAAACCTTGATCCTGGCCCCTGATAATATAATCCAAGATAAAAGAACATCTCGGCTCCTTGAGTTCAACTGTCCAGCAGAATGTGCGCAACCTGGGAGCAAATCTTGACTCAGATCTGTRTCTAGACACAGAATCTGGTTTCCACAAGCTACTTTCAGCTTTGGAATCTCTAAACTCAGACCACTGCTGTCCACTTCAGATTTGGAAATGGGAATTCATGCCTTCATTTCTAATCGCTTAGACTATTGTAACACCTTGTTCACCTGCCTAATCCAGAAAACAGTTAATAGTCTTCAGCTTGTCCAAAACTCGGCAGCAAGACTCCGAAACTCGAACCTCCAAATTCACCCACATCTCCCTGATCCTAGCAGAACTTCACTGGCTTCCAGTTCATTTCAGAATCTGGTTCAAAATCCTGGTCCTCACCTTCAGAGCTCTTCATGGCCAAGCCCCAGAATGCATTAAAAGACTCATCTCCCCTTACAACCCCAGATGGGACCTCTGCTCACAAGATCAAAATCTTATTGTTCCACTCACTCTTTAAGACACGTGGTAACCGTGCCTTCTCATCTGTGGTCCCCAGGATCTGGAACAAACTCCTTTTTAATCTGCGCTCCTAAGATAACATTGTCTCTTTCAAGAAACTCCTAAAAACAGTTTTTTACTCAAGCATTTAGCTAACCATTCACCATTAATGCCAGCCTCAGCCTATCTCCATAGTGTATGCTCACCAACTGTGTTTTTCTATTTGAACATAAGGCATATTTCTCTCCCCTATTTTCTGTTTTGTGTATTATTTGTATATTTTGCTCTGCATTGACCATGTGTCTGAGTTACAATTGTAGAATTTAAACTTTATTTGATGTTTCATTACACTTATGTTTTACGTTTTGTTCCGTTTCATTTTCTCTCCACCATTTTTTTTTATAATGTTCATGATTGTACAGCACCTTCCTTGTGAATATATTTCTGTGAAAGGTGCTTTATAAATATACTAATTAATTGTCTAAAATTTCTTTTAGATTATAGACGCTGCATTTGTTAAAAGTAACATCGTGGTTCTCTTAGCATCTATTACCTTTTAGCAACTTTCCTGGTGGGGCTTGAGCAGGCTGTGTTTTGGAGCTGAACGTCTGGGCGCCCAGCGC